AAGACAATGATCAAGCGATTTGTCTCCTGCCATCTCTCTCCAGCCTCTGACAAACAGAGGCCAAGGACACCATGTTATCCCCTGGCTAATAGCCTTTTATGGACCTAACCTCCATGAAATTATCTAGCTTCTCTTTAAACTGTTATAGTCCTAGCCTTCACAGCCTCCTCTGGCAAGGAGTTCCAGTGCTTCAGGCTGTTTTCACAATACCCCTGCGAAGTGGGGGGAGGAGGGTAACGGTAAAACGGGGATGATGGGAAACTGAGGTAATGGGCGATTAAGATTAAAAAGTATTTTTTAATCACTACTTTTGGGTGCCTAGCACTAGATTATTCAGCGTACTTAGCAGTAAATAGGGCCATGTATGTTCAAAGTGCAGCGCCCTACTGGTTTCAGATGCCATCAGCCCTTGGCAAATCAGACCCCAGGTTCCCAAGCTGGGCACCTAGAAAATGAGGAATACATCATTAGTGAAGTCTGGTTTAAGTGCTTTGCCCATCATCAGGCTACGTCTAAACTGCATGCTTATTTTGGAATAAGCGATTCTGGAAGATATATTCCAAAATAGCTTGGTTTGAAATAGCACATCTACACTACAGGGATGTGTGTAGCACGTCCACACTACAGGGAAGCCTCAAAATTAGTCTGAGGCAGGCATCCCTAATGTGGACGTGCTACCTTGATTTAAAGCCCCAGGAAGCACTGGGGAGAAATTACTTAGAATGGCCCTGGGGAGGAGCTATTTCGAAATAGCCACAGTGGAGCGTCCACACATGGAGGCGTTATTCCTCATGGGATAAGGTTTACAGATGTCAGAATAAGCCGTCCGTTATTTTGAAATAAGGGAATGGTTGTGTAGATGCTCGCACTGTTATTTCGGAATAACGGCCGTTATTCCGAAATAACGGTACCGTGTAGATGTGCCCTCAGTGACAGAGGCCAGGCTAGAATCCAGTTCCCCAAAGCTCCCATACAACCATCCTCTCTTCCTATAACCCTTCTCGCATTCGCTGCATGCCTTCCAGCTTCTGTAGCAAATGCGGCAGGGGGTCCTATAGACGAACGCCCCCGTGAGCATCAGCAGTGGTTCTGCCGCAGAGCAGGTCTGTCCTATGCAGGAGTGAGGAGAGGGGAGGGTCCAATGAAAAAAGAGCATATGGTTGTGTCATTAACGACTGTGTCATAAGGCATAGGCACAAAGCAGGTGAATGACGGGTGCGCAGGCATTTTCTAATTTGCGAGTGCTTGCCTTTGCAACCTGAACGACCCTTTAACGCAGTTTGTGTGTGTGTGTAATTTTCTATGGTTTGGGAAAAAAGCAAATTGGAGAAAAACAAATTGCAGCATGTGGCATTCAGTTGGCAACCATGTGGGTCATCAATGGAGTTGGAACCTTCAGTGACCTCTGGCTACTTTACTTAACGGAGTAACTGGTAGCAGTAGTAGGTTGTCATCTTCGCTATGGACCAGCACAACAGAGGGATGAGCCCTCATAGAACTGGAAGAGACCTCAGGAGGTGATTGAGTCCAATACCCTGCCCAAGGCAGGACCAATCCCAATTTAATCATCCCAGCCAGGGCTTTGTCAAGCCGAGACTTAAAAACCTCTAGGGATAGAGATTCCACCACCTCCCTAGGGAACCATCCCAG